TCTTATAATCCTTTGTATTTCTGCAGTGTCTGTTGTAATTTCTCCTCTTTCTTTTCTGATTTTATTTATTTGAGAATTCTCTCTTTTTTTTAGTGAGTCTAGCTAATGGTTCTTGTCAATTTTGTTTATCTTCTCAAAGAACCAGCTCTTAGGTTCATTGATCCTTTCTATTGTATTTTAGTCTCTATTTCATTAATATCTGCTCTTATTTTTATTGTTTCCTTCCTTCTACTGACTTTGGGCTTTGTTCTCCTTCTTCTAGTTCTTTTAGGCATAGTGTTAGATTGTTTATTTGAGATTTTTCTTGTTTCTTGGGGTAGACCTGCATTTCTATAAACTTCCCTCTTAGTACTGCTTTTGCTGCATCCCATAAGTTTTGGTATGTTGGCTTTATATTTTCATTTGTCTTCAGGTATTTTGTTATTTCTCCTTTGATTTCTTCATTGATCCAATAGTTGTTCAGTAGCATGTTGTTTAATCTCCACATGTTTGTGCCTTTCCCAGATTTTTTTCTTGTAGCTGATTTCTAGTTTCATAGCACTGTGGTCAGAAAAGACGCTTGATATGATTTCAATCTTCTTAAATTTATTGAGGTTCACCTTATTTCCCAACATATGGTCTATCTTTGGGAATGTTCCATGTGCAGTTGAGAAGAATGTGTATTTCTCTGTTTTGGGATGGAATGTTATGTGTATATATATATAAGTCCATCTCGTCTAGTATTTTATTTAAGGCCACTGTTTCTTTGTTGACTTTCTCTCTGGATACTCTATCCATTGATATAAGTGGGATGTTAAAGTCCCCTACTATTATTGTGTTGTTGTCAGTTTCTCCCTTTAGGTCTGTTAAAAGTTGCTTTATATGCTTTGGTGCTCCTGTGTTAGGTGCGTATACATTAATATCTGTTACATCTTTGGGGCAGAATATCTCTCTTATCATTATATAATGTCCATCTTTGTCTCTTGTTATCTTTTTTGTCTCAAAGTCTGTTTTGTCTGATATAAGTATGGCTACACCCACATTCTTTTGCTTTCCATTTTCTTGGAGTATCATCTTCCATCCTTTCACTCTGAAGCTATATTTGTCTTTAGAGCTGAGACGGGTCTCCTGGAGGCAACATATTGTTGGGTCTTGGGTTTTGTGTGTGTGTGTGTGTGAGGAAGATCAGCCCTGAGCTAACATCCATGCTCATCTTCCTCCACTTTATATGGGACAGCGCCACAGCATGGCCTAACAAGTGGTGCATTGGTGCGCACCCAGGATCTGAACCCAGGCCACCAGCAGCAGAAGGCGCACACTTAACCGCTATGCCACGGGGCCAGCCCCGGCTCTTGTTTTTTAATTCATCCAGCTGCTCTGTGTCTTTTGATTGGTGAATTCAATCTCTCTACATTTAGAATGATTATTGATATATGGGGACAGAATACTGCCATTTTATGTTTTGTTTTCTGGTTGTTCTGTATTTCCATTGTTTCTTTTTCCTTGCATTTCTGACTGTCATTTCACTTTGGTGGTTTTCTGTGATATTTTTCTCAATTTTCTCTTTATTTATGATTTGTGACTATGCTCTGATTGTTTGTTCTGTGATTAACGTGAGGTTTGTATTAAAGATCTCATAGATGAGATAGTCATTTTTCTTATAGTCTCTTATCTCCAGTAGCCTAAGCAGGTTCCATCCTTTTCCTCTTCCCCTCCTGTTTTGTGTGTGTGTGTGTGTGTGTGTGTGTGTGTGTGTGTGTGTATGAGGAAGATTAGCCCTGAGCTAACTTCCATTGCCAATCCTCCTCTTTTTGCTGAGGAAGATTGGCCCTGGGCTAACATCCGTGCCCATCTTCCTCTACTTTATATGGGACGCCACCACAGCATGGCTTGACAAGTGGTGCATCGGTCCACGCCCAGGATCCAAACCCGTGAACCCTGGGCTGCCAAAGTGGAGTGCGCGAACTTAACCACTATGCCACTGGGCCAGTCCCCTCTCTTCTGTGTTTTTGTTGTCACAAACTATTCTTTTTTGTGTTGTGAGTTTGTGACCAAATTGAAGTGTTTGTAGTTTTTTGTTGTTGTTTTTGTTTTTTTTGTGAGGAAGATAAGCCTTGAGCTAACAACCATGCCAATCCTCCTCTTTTTGCTGAGGAAGACCGGCCCTGAGCTAACATCTATTGCCAATCCTCCTCCTTTTTTTCCCCCTTTTTCTCCCCAAAGCCCAGTAGATAGTTGTATGTCATAGTTGCACATCCTGCTAGTTGCTGTACGTGAGACACCGCCTCAGCATGGCCAGACAAGTGGTGCATCGGTGCGTGCCCGGGATCCGAACCCATGAACCCTGGGCTGCCAAAGTGGAGTGCGCGAAGTTAACCACTACACCACTGGGCTGGTCCCCTGTCTTCTGTGTTTTTGTTGTCACAAATTATTCCTTTTTGTGTTGTGAGTTTGTGACCAAATCGAAGTGTTTATAGTTATTTTCGATGCCTTATTTCCTTTTATCCTTTATGTTATAATTAAGTTTTTACTAATCTATTCTGATACATTATTGTAATTTTCTGATTCTGTCACTTTATCTCTTTCCTCAAAGCTTTATAAACCTTTGCCTTTTTGTTTCAGGTAAGAGGTCTCCTTCCAACATTTCTTTTAAGGCCGGTCTAGTGGCCACGAAGTCCCTCGGCTTTTGTTTGTCAGGGAAAGATTTTATTTCTCCTTCATATCTGAAGGATAATTTCACTGGATAGTGTATTCTTGGCTGATAGCTTTTGTCTTTTAGTATTTGTAATATATCATTCCACTCTCTCCTAGCCTGTACAATTTCTGCTGAGACATCCACTAGAAGCCTGATGAGGGTTCCTTTGTAGGTTATTTTCTTCTCTCTTGCTATCCTTAATATTTTTTGTCATTGAATTTTGACTTTTTTATATAATATGTTTTGGAGAAGTTATTTCTTCATTGAGGTAATTAGAGATTCTATTAGCTTCATGTACTTGTATGTCCAGTTCTCTTTCCCTAGGTTTGGGAAGTTCTCAGCTATTATTTCTTTGAATAAGCTCTCTGCTCCTTTCTCCCTCTCTTTTCCTTCTCAGATAGCCATCATCCTTCTGTTACTTTTCCTAATTGAGTCAGATATTTCTTGTAGAATTTCTTCATTTTTAAAAAATCTTGGTTTTCTATCTTCTTCCACCTAAATCACTTCTTAATTTCTATCTTTGAGCTCACTAATTCTCTCTTCCATATTATCTGCTCTGTTTTCAATGCTTTCTACTTTATTTTTCATCTCGTTAATTGTGTTCTTCATCTCCAGAATTTCTGTTTGGTTTTTTTTTTTTTTAGAGTTTCAACCTCTTTGGTGAAGTATTCCTTCTGTTCATTAATTTTATTCCTGAGCTCATTGAACTTTCTTTCTGAGTTTTCTTGTCACTCATTGAGTTCATGACTGTTACTTTGAATTCTCTGTTAATCAGATTGAATTATTCTGTGACTTCAAGTGTGGTTTCTGGAGAGCTGTCATTCTCCCACTATTCTGCCATGTTACTATAGTTCCTCATGGTGCTTGATGATTTGATCCTCTGCCAGTGCCTTTGTGGTAGTAACCACCTTTCTTATTTTAGTACAGTTTTGGTCACTTTGGTTCTATGCTGCTGGTTGTATTTGAGAGCCTGCACTTTCCACACTCAACTACCTCTGCTAGAGGTGTGGTCAGTGCCCTCCTTGTACTGCTTGTCCCTCTGAGGTTGCTGGTGCTTTGCTGCTTACAATGTTGCTGCAGTCTCAGATGTCACCACCAGGATCACTAGGCTGTGAGCACTTCTGCTGCTTCTGGGCTTGCCTGGGTCTTGTGTATCCCCACTAGCTCTCTGTGGGCTCTCCACAGGCTCAGGTGCTTCTGCCCTGTGCACCACCTGCACTGCTACTCCTTTGTTATCTGAGGGTGCTGGAAGGACTGCTGCCCGGGGCACTGGGTTCATGAGTGTTGCTCTTGCTTCCAGGGGCCTGGGTTCTTGTATGAAGCCCCCACTGCTGGCAGAGCCAGTGTCGGTAGTGTCACCACTGGGGGCTGGGTCATAGGTTCTCCTGTGGTACCTGAAGTCTCATGTCACAGCTGTCACCTGCCACTGCTCGGGGAGGAGCAGGGGCTAAACCACAAGTGTTGTTGCTGCTCCTTCAGCCTCTGGTCATTGACCTGTGCCGGTGTGCTTTAAAATTTCAGGTCAGGGCACCCTTCCCCCACTGGGGAAATTCAGATTTTGGATGCTGAACCCATTTCTGGAAAGACTGGTGCCACTGCTGGGAGAGGAGTAGGGGCTGGGTCGCTGACTCTGCTCTGTGTCCTGAATCCTCAAGACATGTGTCACCTGACACCACAGGGGAGTGGGGCAGGGGCTAAGCTGGAAATGTGTTATTTGCTGCTGCAGATTGTGGTCACCGTGCATGTGCCAGTGTGAGGATCTGCATTTTGGATCATCACAGCTGGGTTGGGGGCAGATCACCTAGTTCCACTACTTCCCAGAGGTCCAGTCTACCCGCCTTCAGATGTATGGATCCATGGAACTCTCAGGCATTCTGATGTGCTGTGCAGGGAGTCCTTTTTTGATCAACGGATGTATGACTGGTTGTAACTTAGAGGAGAGAGAAAAACGAAACAACTTACACTGCCATGATGCTTCTGGAGGGAGTGAAAAAACTAATGATTAACTTTTTTAGTGATTCACTTAACTTGACTTGTGGCTTAGAGCACTGACCCTCACCTAACAGGATTCCAGGCCTGCTGAGAGCAGAAGTAGGAGTTAGGAGCTAGTCCTGGAGGGAAGTAGGCTTTGTCAGAGATCAGGGGGAGGATGTGAACCAAGGCTTGGGGTAGAGGTGTGTGAACTGTAAGGATGGGATCGGGGCTGGGCCACATGCAGGAGAGCCCTGAATGCCCTGTTCCTGGCAGGGGCCCAGTGGTCAATGCCTGCCCAGCTCAGAAGGAAGTTTGAGGCCACTTCTCATTTTGTTTCCCCTCCCTGGCCCAGGAACTGCATCGGGAAGCAGTTTGCCATGAACGAGCTGAAGGTGGCCGTGGCCCTGACACTGCTCCGCTTTGACCTGGCGCCGGACCCCTCCAGGGTCCCTGCTCCCATTCCAAGAATTGTGTTGAAGTCCAAGAGTGGGATCCACCTGCATCTCAGGAAGCTCCTCTAACCCTTCTTGGGGACAAGAACAGGCTCTGAGGGGCCCCTGCAGGCATCCTGTTTCCCTGTCACTCTCTCCTGTCCCCTGCCTGTCTGCCCACTTCCTGTATCCTATCTTCCCACCTGCCAACCTACCTGATCTCCTGCCTCCTGCCCATCAGACCATCACCCTTCTCTCTCTCATCCTTCTGCAGGCTCCCTACCTGTTTATCTGTCTGTCTCTGACCCACCTGCATCTCTGACTGTCACCTAACTCCTCATTGCCTGCCTCTCCTCCAGCCTGTTTGTCATCTTCTTGTCTTTTTCCCTTTCTGCCTGCCTGTCTGTTGTTGTATTAGCGGTTTTTTTTTGTTTTGTTTTTTTGTTTTTTAGTTTTTGCTGCTATAATAATTTACTGCAGCCTTAGTGACTTAAGACAATGAAAATTTATTCTCTTACAGTTCTGGAGTCAAAAGTCTGAAATGGCTTCACTGGACCACAACCAAGATGTTGGCATGGCTGCCCTACCTCCGGGCCTCTAGGAGTGAATCCCTCTCTTTGCCATTCTAGCACCTACAGCTGCATTCCTTGGCTCCTGGAGCCTCCTCCAGATTCAAATCCAGACAGACCTCCCTGCAGCCCTCTGCCTATAGTGTGAGGGCACACTCTGCCTCCCTCAAGGGGCTTCTCCCCCAGCTAATGCCTGCAACCAGGTCCTTTCTCCCAGTCCCCTGTCCTCCTAGGTCCCTGGGCTAGTTCAACCCTGCTCTGAGAAGGGGCAGGGTGGACACTCAGTGCTTGACCGGGGGTTGGGGCATGAGAGTCAGCTGGAAGAGTCTTGGACAGGAAGTTTGGCAGGTGCCCTGGCATCAGGTGGTGCAGAAGGGCTTGGCTGACCACCCTCAGAGAGCAAAGACAATGAGAACTTGGAATTCTGGGCAGCAGGCCATGGACACGTGTTCTAACCACAGGATTCCACAGGGGGTGAAGAGAGTGACCAAGAAGTGACCCTGCTGGATCCAGGCAATGAGGAAACCCAGGCTGAGTTCACCCACATATGCACACCCCCCTGACACACACAGAGACCCTCGTGTGCAGCCATACCTGCATGTGCCCCTCACACAGCACACTCTGCACACACACATGTGCACAAAAATGCCTGGGAGGATTGGAGGCAGCAGGCTGTGTTTTCAAAGCTAGAAGGATTGAGTGGAATTCATATTTGGTGCCAGCGGGTCCCCAGTCTCTGTCCTCCCTCCCACAGGGAGCCCCCTCTTCCCTCAGGCTCCAGAGCTCCTGGCTGTATTTCCCACCGACTCCTGCCTCCAGAGAGAGAATCAACGCTCTCTATGGAGACTTGGTCAAAAGAGGCCAGAGTCAGAAGACCTCGGCTCAAGCTCCTGCCTGATGAGCATCTTGGCAACTTCCTTCCCTTAATATTGAAGTGGACTAATGACCCCTCCAGTCCTGACTCACAGGCCTCCTGACAGTCCAGAGATGAGGGAAGTAGACACCTCTTAGACTCGGGCACCACCCATGGGCCAGAGGTGGTTATGACCTCTGGGCTCAGCTCCCTGGTGATAGCTCTTGAAACCATATCTTCACTGGTGCAGAGAAAGGCCTGTTCAGGACCAGGGCAGAGGGAGTAGTTGGTGGCATGGGGTCACCCTGGCTGGAGCCTCTGCATCTCAGCCTCAGGTCAGAAAGGGGGTCTGGGTCTTGACAGGACGTTGCAGGAGTGAGCAGGTGGCCCCTGGCCAAACTACCAGGGCTGTGGCCTTCTGAGAGAGGAAGGATCTATAGCAAGAAGGATGTCTCCAGATGGTGCATCTCTAGGGTAACCTGGAGACACCCCCAAGTCCCAGAGCTAGAATTCCCCTCTCCCATCCCTCCCCCAGGCTCCAGTGCCCTCCCTTCCACAGCTGTCTAATTCCTGGATTGGAGTCCACTAATGGCCTTAGACCTGAACCCTAGAGACATGTGTGCCCCCAGCCACCAGGCAGCTGCTGCAGGGACTCCTGGGGAAGGATTTCTGATTCAGCATGTGGCCCCATCTGAGTGCTCCCCAAAAGTTCTCCTTTGCACCTTTGTGCCTCACCCTGCCTCAAGGCCTGATTCAAGCACCCTCTCTTCCAGGAAGACCCTCGGATACCACTCTGCCACCTTCCCAGCGAAAGTCCAAACGCCCAGAGCACGAGGTAACTGACACAGACGCTGACGATGGCAGGAGTGCCGCAAAAACCCATCACAGGAGGGGCAGAAGACACACCCAAGGAACCATATTCCATATTCCTTGACCTTGGCAGTGGTTACCTGGGAGTTAGCTTTAGAAATTCATTGTTCTGGACATTTCTGGTTTAGGCAATTTTTACTTATTCCTGTTATACTCCAAAGACACACACAAAAGTGAAACAAAGAAACACCTCTCAGTGAAGGCACAGCCCCAAAGCCATCCCTCTGTGACATGGAGTGGGTGAGTGTCTGGCCACAACCGTGAATCCCGAGGCACAGCTTCTATTGCGTGCACCGTGTCACTCAGGCTGGATGTAAGTTTCTGCTACATTTTAGGAAGACTGCCAATTGTGGGAGATCAGTGAAGATTCTAGCAGGAAGCAGGTGCTCACCATATGTTTGTGGAAGGAGTGAGTGAGCTCTAGAGTACATGCATGATAGGCATGTATAGACACACATGGCCCTGCCCTCGAGGTGATTGTCCATGCCGGTGCCGACTCCCCCTCTAATCGACAAGCCTCCGGAGGGCAGGGAGCCACAGCTACTGCACAATCCAGCCTGGGGAGGGCGGTGCCCAGGGTCAGGCCACGGCCTGGGCTGTCTGGGCCCTACTCTCGGCAGAGCTACTTCCCAGAGCCTGAACCCAGCGGCTTCAGGTGGAGGTGGATGCCATTCCGGGAGCGCAGGACCAGCTGGGGCATCGCAATGGGTGGTCGCGAGGGGTCCAGGGCAAACTCAAAGCGGAGCAAGCAGAGGGCCGTGACCACTTTCATCTCATTCATGGCAAACTGCTGCCCGATGCAGTTCCTGTGATGACAGCACAAAATGGCATCAGGCTGTGGGGTGTACAGAGTGAGGGACCCAGTGACCTCAGTGGCCAACAAAACCAATAATTATTTTGGGGTGAACAATTGGCTGATCGATTGATTGACCTGGGCTTAGGAACCAGATCCTGGGAGTGTGGTGAGGGTCCCAGACCAGGTAGATTCACAGGGGTGAATCAGGCTTGGAGGTCCCTCTTTGAATGACTCACCCACCCCACCACCCACCAGGGACTTGAATATGGAACGTACCCTGCGTTTGGATCACCACAAACCCAGCATGGCCCCCTCATCACAGAGTGCCCCAAAATGGTGCCTCCCCACAACACCTTCCATCCTCACCTGCCCGTACCTGAGGGCCTGGGGATGTTGGGCCTCTCCTTACCTGGGTCCAGCGGAGAAGGGTATGAAGGCATAGGGGTGGCATCTCGTCACATTCTCAGGGGAAAAGCACGGGGGGTCAAAGACCTGAAGGGACAAGCCTTGCTTCAATACCTGCCAGGTCCTGGGGGAGGGGGACACTCATAGCCTCCCACCCCATCTGACCCGTGGCCCAGAGATGGGGTACCTCAGGGTCAGGCCACACTGCGCTGTTCCTATGGAGGGCGTAGATGTGCAGAGAGATCAGGCTGCCTGTGGGCAGAGCAGAGGCCTGGTGACCAAGTGGTCCTGGGACAGCCAAACCCACCTCCTCACAGCGCCAGCATCCCTGAGCATCCCATAACTGGGCACCAGCCCTGCCTGAGCACTGCCAGTGACGGAGACTGCGTGACCACCCTCAGCACATCAATGGGCTTTTGATCCTCATCACACCTGCTTCCTGCAGCCCCAGCACTGGACACAGCACCTGGCATGGATGTTTGTGGAAGGGAAAAGAAGGGGGACTGAACCCACCCCACCACAAGGTGGGACTGGCAAGGACTGTTACTCACTTTCTGCTTTCAATCAACTCGCTCTCAAGGAAAGTTATTACTCGTAACAATGTGCTATCAATAGTAACAGCTACCACTCATTGGGTGCTTACTATGTGCCAGATACAGAGTTAAACACTCTTTACGAAGCCACCACACATGGTTGTAGAAGTTGTATACTGCACAGCATCATAGTCTATGTGAATGATGCCTACTGAAGTTGTTCAGGGCACAGCCCGCATGGTGGTACACGACAGCCCTGATGAGTATTGTCTCTTTAATCCTGACAACAACCTTGTGAGGCAGGGACTTTCTCACTCCCATTTTACAGAAGAGGAAACAGAGGCTTAGGGTTAGAAGGATTTACCCATACGTTGTGCAGCCAGGATTGGGACCAGCCAAACACAAAGCCTGAGCTCTTCCCCACTGGGGCAGAGATTTGGCCAAAGACACAGAGAGTATCAGAGAAGCATCCCCAAATCCACCCCATGCACCTGCGGGCAGAGAGCGGCCATCCACAAAGCTGACAGGCTTGCTGAGCTGGCGGAACACCTGGGGCACGGGCGGGTAGAGGCGGAAGCTCTCCTTGATGCACATGGTCAGGTAGGTCATCTTGCCCAGATCATCCCTGCCAGCAACACAGCCAGGACTTCCTGGGTCTGCGGAGCCACAGGCTCCCACGGGAAGGCAGGCCCCAGCCCCACCATCCCCTTCACCTCCATCACACACCCGAGAGTCAGAGGGACACAAGCGCTCCAAGTGTCCAGGCCAGACTGGACATGGCGTGGCCACTCAGGCCCAGGGGTTCTGGCTCCACTCCTCTCCATCCCTCCCTCATCTTCACTGCTAGGAAGGGAAAGCACGGGACCCTAGAGGTGTATGCGCACCCAGGCATCCAAACAAGGTCACTCCCGTGTCTCCCAGGGCCCCACAGGAGCCCCACAGGGACAGTTCTCTAGGTCCTGTTTGGTTTCCCGTGTAGAGCTGGAACGGGGCTGATACACACTGGTCAAATGAAGTAATAAATGTATGAACAATGACAAGCTCAGATAAAAATATATTTATGTTTTTCTTTTCATTTTTGCCACCAGGAAGCTCAGAGCAGTCTAACTATAACTCTGTGTAGCACTTTATGACAGAGCCCCAAACCCTAAGGTTTTATTCCCCTGGTCCTCAT